TTGATTGATTTTCGAATTTCGTCAATCGGCTTTCTAATTCCAATTTCTTCTTGGCGAAATCTTCCAACGTAACGACTTTGTTCTTGGAGTCGACTCCCGAGCCCAAAGATTGAAACAGCTGATCGATCAATTCTGGGCTAGGATCCAAGGCATTTCCTTTGCTGGGGTAGATAAGGCAATAATATCGTTCAGATCTTGACCGACTGTACGATATGAGGAAGGCAAGGCAAGGAAAACAATGACTCACTCGGCATCGAATCTAGTCATGCTGGCGTCATGCTCAATCTTTCCATGTTCACCGAGCTCTTGGATGCTAAACCCAAACAGTTTACCCAGTCGGAGTGTCCCCACTATTGCAAATACTATCGCAAATGTCCAACTGAGGTTGTAACATTCTACAAGAGCTATCATTAACTTGTGGACTGGGATTTTCTGACTGGAATCTTCCACCTTCCTGCGGCCACAGTATTTCGTGAAGTAGAAAGAACAACGAACCGAAGAGGAATGGAAGGGGAAATCGTCAGGGCTTCGCATCAATAGCACTATGATCACGTTTTTCTCATCAAATCCTTTTTGAAATCCAAACCTGCACTCCTGTAAATACGAAACACTTACAAATAAGAATGATTTATCATTGCCGAAATCGCAGGACATGGGCAACCAAGCATCTTCCGGTGATATGGATGGGCCCCGTCGGGACCAGATCCACGATTTTCAAGCAGAGGGTGCTTCTCATCGCGCTTTTCTTGAAAGAATACTTGCTGCATGATTGGCTGTCTTCCAATTGGTAGAATGTGTAGTAATGCTTCCTCAGAGGCTATAAATGATTGAGAGTATCTCTGGCACGTTGTGACAATGGGTTATATAAATTGTACCAGGAAGTCACGAGAAAAGAATTAAATAAGTAATACTGAGTTCAAGTTATAGAGTTCTACGCGGCTGGTACACAGCCTTCTCCGTTTTACGCCGTCACTCTCATACAAGTCTCGGTCATTTACTGAACAGAATGAAATGATTGCTATGACCGCGAGTGCCGTGAGCCATAAAAGGAATGAATCCGCACATCCTGCCTCATCATGTGTCATAGGAGAAGTTAGGAAAATATTCAAGCAACAAGATGCCGACTGATGCCAGACCGTGCATTTCCTACAAATGATCGCTTCCGATCTTCATCAGATCATCACAGAAGTGTACGTATACTCACCCATGACCCCAGCCAAGAATGTGCTTATCCAGTTTTAGGAGTACTGCTGCTGGACATCAATGGCTGGGATAGGCTCAAGTGGAGCTCGGTCCCCTGTTTGGATGTCAGGACAGGATGTCCGGATCAGACTTGGCAGGGAATCGATCTTCATTCCCAAAATCAGTGGATCTCTAGAGTTCTTACAAGCAGAGCAACAATCTAGCTGTTATACTTCTCACGAACTTAGGGGATGCAGCTTCCCTAACAGTAACCGATAAAAAAACGACTGTCGGATTGAATCAACTTTGTTCTACTTGGTGCCGCTTCAACTTAATTTGCCTTGTATGAAATCCAGAGCACAGTCATAAGAGTCGAAGATGGTTTCATATCTTTGACCTGTTTCAATTCTCATGAACACTCTTAAGCATAAACACACTGCACTTTCTAGATGAAAAGCCTAAACGCTTCCAAGCAAACGAGGACCAGAAAATCATGCCGAGCTGACAGGACATCAAAGAAGTTCAAGTAACCAGAGACAAGAACGTGATGTAGAGTGAAGCTCTCAGCTAAAATCCGAGAGAGGATTACATCATTTGGACTACTGCTTTCATTTCCATCGTCACCAGTACATATCACTTCATCGTCCAACTGCATCATGGCAGATAGGGACCGCAGATACAACTAGGATATTCGGGAAATAGGACTTCAGAGCCAGAAGGCAAATAGTTTTTACTGAGGAAGGTTGCAGAAGACTGACCCTAGGGGTTCCTACTGGCCACGTTTGTCGGCTTTTGTCGGCGTCGTTTTTGAGCGTCATAAATATGGTGGGATGTGGAAATTTTTACTGCAAAACTCAATCCTGCAACTGGAGGACTTCCTGTGAGTTAGAATGGCTCTGCAAAACTATTTTTACAAGCTGTAAAGGCTAAATTTTTGCCGGGAAACCCAGTCCCCTGTAAAGCTATTTTTACAGGCTGTAAAATGGTTTTCCCAGGGGAAAACAAGCTTAGCACCCTGTAGATCTAGCTTTACAAGGCTTGTAAAACCAACGGGAAGTCATCCATTTCCCAGCAACATTTTAGCTCCACAGCCTGTGAAAATAGCTCTACAGAGCCTGTAAGACCACACTGCCAAAATGATTGTATCAGATTGCTACATCAGGCATTACATCACATAAAAATATCTGATATTACATCAGGAAAAACTGGGATTGTATCTACCAGAATTGATATTGGAGGACTTCCCGTGGGTTTTACAGGCCTTGTAAAGCTAGATTTACAGGCTGTAAAGCTAATTTTTTGCTGGGAAAACGGTTTCACAAGCTTGTAAAAATAGCTTTACAGGGGGCTGTAAATTTGACGGGAAGACTTCCATTATATCTACCCAAAATGATATTGTGTCTATCATGAAAGACATTACATCAGACCAACCTATTCAATGTCAAAATAACTGAATTTATATCAGATTTTTCCATCTGATTTAATGCCCATGGGCTAAAAATTTGTATCAGATGCAAAAATCTGATATAAAATCAGTTATGTTGACATTAAATAGGTTGGGCTGATGCAATATCTGTTATGATAGATATAACATAATTTTAGGTAGATATAATATCACTCCTGATAGATATAATACCAGTTTTGCCTGATGTAAAATCAGATTTTCTCTTCTGATGTAATGCCAGATGGGGGAATCTGATATAATCACATTTGCAGTGCCAACAGGAAGTTCCCCAAAGGAGGACTTCCTGTCATATCTATAGCCCTTATAGATGTTGATTTAGAGATAAAAAGTTGTAAGAGCCAGCAGCTCTTCACTGGAGGACTTCCTATGGGTTTTACAGGCCTTGTAAAGCTAGATTTACAGGCTATAGAGCTATTTTGTTTTCTGGGAAAACGGGTTTACAGCCTGTAAAAATAGCTTTACAGGGGGCTGTAAAATTGATGGGAAGTCCTCCACTATCTGTATGTGCAAGACTGGTGTCTTGGAGAGATTCTAAAACAAACCAGACTTTTTATTTCATTCATAAGCTATCTCAGACCGTGTTGGATCAGTAATCTCTCTAGAACTATGGATGAAAGATGATATGAGAAAGACCAGATAAAAGAGGGAAATGGGAAAGCATAACTGAAGAAATTTTAACCGAGGAAGGGAGAATTCTTGGAGGAGATTTTTGACAACAAAAATTAATTTTGTTGGAACGGCTCAGAGGGTCGAAAAAAGAAGGAGAGAACCAATGATATTTTTTCTTAGCAGAGACTAGTCGTTAAGTAGTCTACATACAAGTTGTTCAACATGTGTTTTGAGAGGAAATTGAATATAAAAATGAATAACAGTTTGAAACATGTAAGAAACATTGACAGGAGCAAATTCTTATTGATAAAGACTAGACCCAGGTTCGAAGACTACGGGGATTTCAGCACTAGACAAAAGAAAAGATGCCACTCAGACAAGGACAAAACATACTCAAAACATGTGTATTAATTTGTATAATCATTAACAATTGAGGAAAGGGTTTTTAGGAATGAGAAGAAAGAGACAGAATTTCAACAATAACTAGCTCAGAGAGAGAGAGATTAGTAATTCCCACTGAGCTAGGAAAGGACAGTAGGACCCCAGAGAGCCCCTACCAAACCACCTAATGTAAAATGTAGCAAAACAGATTTTTTTTTCTCCCAAAATGTCAGTAATGTAAATCAGCAAAAAGGTGTCAAAAAAATACGACATGATCCTTATTTATGTGGTAGCAATTTGGGTCCACCAGCTGAAATTTATGCATGAAATTATTAGATTCTTCACAAGGATGAAAAGAAAAATGAAATTTATGCATAATAGGAAAATTTATTGAAAAAAACTTTTAAAAAAAAGGACCCTGATGTTGGAGGTAGCAAAACATGCATCTGCCCCCCCCCCAAAAAAAAACACATATCCCTAGGTAGCAAAAACCCAGATTTTGCGGGTTTTACATTAGGTGGCTTGGTAGGGGCTCTCTGGGGTCCTAGGACAGTCAACCAAAATTCAAAGGGTACTTCAGATTACAGAATCTGTGACATTTCACATTGTGAACCCCACAGTATGTTGGAGGCTTTACAAAAGTCTAATTGTTTTCCTGGGAAAATAGCTCTATAGCCAGTACTTCTGGCTTGACCATACAGGGCACTATGAAATTGAAAGGAAGTCCTCCAGTATTACCAATGATTTAAATGCACAACATGCTGTAACTGCAATCACACATAAATTGGAATTGGTGATTCTTTGCAAGTAAATACATAGATTCAAACTTACATCAGAATGCTATGGTAGTTTTTCCAGGATGGAAAAGAATTGTTGCTCCTTTAAGCTTACATGTCTCTACTTTGCATTGCCATATGTTTGGAGTTGATATCCACAAGAATATCCCACAGGTCACAAGGGGAATACCATGAGAGTGTCTATCACACCAGTGAATGATCACCAATTTGGATCAAATCACTGTTTGTTAAGAAACCAGGTATGATGGTTTCAAACAGGCCCAAATCTGACCAAGTCCCTGTTTTGGCTGACTTGTGAAGAATTTAGCATGATTACTTCCCCCCTCAATAAACGTCTCACATCTGACTGTGCAACTATCCCAAAATGTCTGTGCTTGCAAGCAAATCTGTTGAGAAGAAACACATTCCTCAAAACTCATGAAGTTTCATTCAAGAGAATGTAAAACATTCTACATTGTTGCAAGTCAAGCACTTATGCCACTTGCTGATTGATGACAAGAATTGGGTTGGACAGGAGAACCAGACAAACTGAATCACATACATACCCCATCACATGAACATCTTGATGTATATTCCCAATTCCAATTCTATTCACTCATGGTACTTTTGTTCTTTTTGAACATCAAAAGGCACTGATCACTTTTCCTACTGAAATTCAGAACCATTACAAAAGAACCAGGTAACCCAAAATTGGGCCACATTTAACCTAAAAACAATAATTATTTACATGATCATTTTTTCTTCCTTTCCATCATTTATTTATTTTTTTGAATTGTGTTTGGGTTATTTTGTGTTCAAGGCAGGCGAGAGGAAAAGCACGCAAAGAGGAATGTTATTCAATAGAGAGAGAAGACAAGACCAACAATCAGAGAGACAGATTAACAGTCACAAATCCTCCTGAGAAGGGAGCGAATATAGACTGGAAAGGAGGTGTTGCGCCGGGTTGAAGAGTGACCGAGTATCCGATGATTTAGATTGGCAAGGGGATAAGTATGGATCAATCAGTGGCTTGTCGGGGTTGATCAAGTATGCGGACTTGGGGAATAAGCATGACAAGGTTGAAAGGTCCAAGAGAATCGGACAAAGACAAGTGTTCAAGGCTTCTCGAGAACTTTGACTATTAACCAACTTGCGGCAGCGGCAGCCCCACCCACAACGATCGTCGCAGAACTCGCTTTTAGGTAGCCCACAAAGCCTATCTTAGCACCTGTAAAGTACGCCTGAGGGAAAAAAAAAACGAATACGGTTAGATTCAAGTTGCTCGCTTGTTTCAGTGTCCCTCCATTTTGAAGGACGACTGGTCAAGGAATCATGAGACACCCAAGTAACCAACTCACTTTAAATACACCAAAAATTAGCAAAGTTATAAACATGATCGCGATACTCCAGTATAATGCGATCTGAGCTGACTCAATAAAGAAATAAGGTCCCTGTGTTTGAGAATGTTTTCATGTCAATGCCATGGCCCAAAAACAGAGATAAATCAAAGGAAAAGGCGCTGCGTACCATGGGCACAAGACCACCAATAAAGTACGACAAGCCGATAGTTAGGGCGGAAATGTAGAGGCGAGACTCTGGAACTTCTTCTAAGCCTTCGCCGAATTTCAACAAGAAGGGGGTGATGCCGATGTCTTTAGCCCATCTGAGCTGATGGTTGCCTCCATCGATCTGCTTGAAAAATTTGGGTTGACGACCCAAGCATCTCAAAAGCCAACGTGCCGTGCTTTCCTCTGCTGGCTCTGCCGTGCGGTCGATACATTCGTCGGCTTCCGACTCGGCCCGAAGGAGTGCTGCGGCAACGGTACGTGAGATCGATTCGTCCAAGCCCATCGGCCCAAGGACTTCGTGCACCTCTCGCTCCATCTCCCCAGAGCACGACCTTGCCACTCGCTCCTTGGTGGTCTTTTGGAGATACTTGAAATGATCTCGTTCGGCTTCTGAGGCTAAATATCCCCCGACCCCCATCGAAATCGCTCCAGAGATTAACTGGTAAAAAAAAATTCATTCACAGTCAATAAGCCCGCATGACTAGTCAAAAAGAAATGAGTGGTTTTGAATTGGATCCTTCCCTCTGTGGGATTAGAAAGAGGGTCTCACTTCAGCTATTCCTCCAACTACCACCAGACGGGATGATCCGAGCGATGAGAGACCAGCGGTGAGCCCAAATGGAACAGTCAAGCCATCACTCAAGCCGATGATTCTATTCGAAAAACAGCATGCTAGTTAGCAGTCCGCCGGGCTTTACTAGACCTGGGTAATATTTATAATCAAGTGGAAAGAAAGGAACATGCATGAACAGATGAAAGGGAAACATACACATCGCGAACGATATCAGGGTTGATGAGATGTCGCTCATCATCGCCTCTTAATTCTCTGCAACAAACCTGAATGTCTTCAGGCCGGCTCTTCTTGTCACATTTATTCAAGTGTGGGGTGATGTTATTTTTAGTATGGGTATTAGAGGAGGAGGAAAGTGAGCCGATCGAGCTTGATGGTTTCAAAGCATTGTCTGCTTCTGACTGTTCCGAGGGTCTTGAGGGTGCTTCATCCGAATAATAATCCCAAACTTTTTTCTGTTTCTGGTTGGGATTTTCAGTATTGTCGCTTGATGAGGCTGAGGGCCTCAATGACGAGTTTTTTGGCAGAGGAACGCTTGTTGACGGGGCTGAGGTGGTGGATGAGGACTCCTGAATGACTGGCTTGCCAGTTTCAACCATTTTTGTTCTTTCTTCTTGAGACTGTTTATCTGTCTGGTGATGTGAGACCTTCTTGTGAAGATGGGCACAGTAACTATCCTTAAGTGGATGCTAGAGTGATGGTCTGTTCTGCCGGCTGGTTGGCTTCTGGAGTTTCGATATAGCAGGACCGCAGAAAATTTAAAGGACAGATAAGTTTCAGACTCTGTTTTGATAAAAACAGAGGTAGAGTTTATGGGAGCTGAGTTGAAGATCTACAGCAGTATTATATGTTATCTTTCAGCTGCTAGTTAAGCTTAAACTTCACCCACCACCAGTGTATGAGGATGAGCTTCCCTCCCTGAAAGCGGAACCAATATGTAGAGAGGTTACAGGGTTTATGTTGGCAGACTTCAGCTGGTGCTGCGGGCCTAAAGTATGTAATAGGGAAACAAGAGAAAGGGATCAGTGTCATGGATATGGCGTATTAATTCAAGATGCTTGATGTCTCAAAGACTTACCCCAGTCAGATGGTCTGCTTTATTGTAGGATTGCGTGCTTGATGGTAAGTCCGGAGTCTAGACAATGCTAAGCAGCTCGTCAATCTCCGGGATCCGGTGTGGGTGTGAGCGTGTGATGGTCGGTATTTTTGAGTGATCAGGGTGTTCGAAGTAGAAACAGGTTTGAGGACAAAAGCTTGATGACTGACTTCTTGGGCATCAAGCTCAACAAGTCACCACCCATGCCACTGCCGATATCCGCGTGCTGTGATTGGTCAACAGGCTTCACACACTTGAGCTGACCAACTCAGAGAGTGAAGCGCACACAGCGCACTCAGAGCGTCCGGATCAGCGCTCGGATCTCTTGGCACTCTTCCGCTTCTTGAAGGTCTGTTGGCTGTGAACAGAACAACAACTGGAAGCGATGCGCTCCTTCATCAGTGTGATCGACGAGCAAGTACATACATACCAATCGAGCAACCGGTCAATATATAACAGTCGCAGTGCCGGAACATCTCCCAGGTAAGTGCACTTCACTTGGACCGAGATTCAGGGACCGGAATCAGAGAAGAAAACTGACATTTTCAAACACAAATATTTAAATGTCCCCGTCTATGATTCCTTGTAGACGAACGTGTTTTTAATATGTATTATGTACGTCGTCCTCTCGGCGGCGCGGCCCGCTTGACGTCATCTAGGCCCAGCCAGACTCAAAACACCACACCCACTGGAACGGGGAACGTGTGATGGACACACGATTCACAAAGCTTCTCATTCGGCAATAGTCGAACCGCTTAACACCTCCTCCTTATTCCAATCATCAGTGTTTGACCAGCTTACCTCGTCCCGGGTTCAATCCGCTGCCTGATCAACTGCCGGAGTCACATCACCCAGCCAAAGCCACACCCTCAACATGCGCTCGTCCACCTCGCTCTGTGTCCTCCTGACGCTTGTAATCGCAGGCGTTTCGCACGTACTTGGAAGCCTCCGAGCCTCGGCGAAAGAGGTTTACCCGCACTTGGACGTGTGCAAACGCCACCGGAGAAACCTGGCCTTCGAGGCCAGCGGCCAGAAACGCTGCAACATGGTCACCACTTGCAGCAACGGTTGGCCCCACCTCCCGCCCTGCCAGGAACGCGTCAACCACGGCAGTGCCTCATGCCCCCTAGCCGAGCGCGGGTGTACCACATCAGAGCTGTACCAAAACCCCTGCAAACACGGGAAACACCAGATTGCAACGTGCAACAACCCCGCGCACGGTACGCAGGCACCCGCGGGGTCTGTCGCTAGTTCAAGCCGCCGCCCTAGTAGTTACCCACTCCCACTCCCACCGAACCCTTACACCGACTTTCGCAGGTGATAGGATCCCATCGCATCCGGAGCATATCAGCAAGTAGGCACTAGGCAGCAGAAGCAACCCGGCCCCCCTCGTGCAAGTAGTGTATATAGTGTAAGTAGAGGTCTTTCAGACATGATTGGTAAATTGTGCCGAGTTCCATAGGAGAAAAATCTCACTTCATTAAATAGTTGTTCATAACTAAACATGTATATAGAATTGAAGTGAGCCATTCAGATAGTACTACCATACTATTTTTGGTTCTTTTAGATAGAATGATAATGGAATTGGTTTTGCTTGACTGGAGAGAGAAAAAAAAAACGCAACAGAGATGGTAACGACAGGTTTCTTGTTCAAAGAAAAAGTAACACGTGAGGGTATCAAGGCACAACAAACCATGCAACTTGAAACGAAGAAAATCCAAGCAACCAAAATTCACTGCAAACATAACAACTATGATGTGGATATCCTGACGGGCAGGGGGGAACTTTGACCACTGGCTTTCCTGAGCCTTTCCATGACCGTTGCGCCCAATCCGACCTCAGAAAGACGCTCGACATAGATGATGTCCACTCGGAGCTCTTCATCGAGATATCTCAAGGCTGCAAAGAGCCGTTGGGCACTGATCGCTGGTTGGCTTTCTAGTCCAAGGTTTGAATAACAAAATTGGTGATGACCATATTTTTCTGACTGGGCACACGCGATGAACGATTGGTGGAGGGGACTGTCGTCGATCAACATCAGTCCTATCCGCAAACCTTTCGAGCTGTCTGTCTCTTCACTGCAGATGCCCGATACCAGCTCGTCGACGCCTCGGAGTGATTCCTGTTGATCGGAATCTGAGGTTGGTACCAAGACTGGATCTAGAATAACCACCTTGGCATGAGGTGCGTAATGTTTGTATTTCATACCGGGGGTGGTCGGCTTAGCCTCCAACTCTTTGTCGCGATAATCCTGATTGTAAACTCCGGCGAGAATGGGCTTGCCATCGGATAGGTTGAGGCCGGCTTCAATCAAGCAAGCCTCGATGTCTTCGACGCTCAATCCGCCCAATCGGAGGATCCTCACTCGGCCATCCGGATTCAGGCCATCGACCACCGTGCTCTCGACGCCAACCTGACATGCGCCTCCATCAATTATCATCGGAATCTTTGTCTTCATGTCTCTTTCGACGTGTTGGGCGGTCGTCGGACTGGGCCTGCCACTGAGGTTGGCCGATGGCGCAGCAATAGGAACCCCGCTTTCAGCAATGAGCGCTCTCGAGATCGAGTGGGCCGGCATCCGGACAGCCACCGTTGGCAAGCCGCAGGTCACTAGGTTAGAAATCGGACAATTGGGTTGGACGGATGATGTGGTGGGCACTAGAAGAGTGAGAGGACCGGGCCAAAAGCGTTCGATCAAGGCTTGGTAGGTCGCTGGAAAATTCCAATCCGGGGGCACAAATGTCTTGAGGAGATTGAGTGATGAGACGTGAACAATGAGTGGGTTGTCTGATGGCCTCCCCTTGGCTTTGAAGATCTTCGAGACAGCCGTCGAGGAGAGCGCTGAAGCACCTAATCCATAAACCGTCTCGGTCGGAAAAGCAACAAGATCCTCAGATTGGATCACTTTCGCAGCCGCTTGAATACCGGTAGCCGTTCGATGACAGTTGAAGAGCGGCTTTCCTTCGTTTTCTGATGGTAAGGTACGCGAGAGTGTTAGCAAAGGTTAATATCCCAAGAGAAATAGCACGATCTCAAAATGGTGAAGCTGCTTACTGTCTGTAAAGTCAATGGAGTCGCGATCGCATTGGATCACATTGGTGGTCTGATCCTGGCTGCCGAGACCGTCCAAGAGTCTTCCAGCGGATTGTGACTCTGCGGTCGATGCCATATCTGCGAGTGGCAGAGAGTTTAGAATTGGGATAAACTGGATCAGCTTTCCATACATATACAACTTCTTTTATTTTCCCTTGGAGGCCGTAGCTCGATGTGCACATGCGGACACATTTTTTTTGCTTACTTGAAGTTGAAAGCGCAGATGAAGCAAGACTGACACGCAAACCTGAAACTACGAAGATGATTTGATTTTCTGAAAGAGACTCTGACGGATTGTTTGATTGGTGCTGTTTTGTTTTTTTGTAAAGAAAAAAAATCAGAAACATTTCGAAAAAGATGTGAAAACTCTGGAAAAAAATTGGGGCTTACCTAATAAATAGTGTGGCACCAATGAGGCAACAACTGTCAGAGGGATATGAATGTCAACCGAGCCGAACAAGATAGATTAATGAGAGAGGCGAAGTTCAAGCGATGAGAATAACGAATCCAATAAAAATAGACAGAAAGAATCATGATATCGACCTTGTTACTGGTAAGATTATTCAGAAGCATATCAAGTCAGCGAAATGCAGGTTAGGTCCAAATCCATGAATGGTAAGGATGATCCGAGACGGAATTTGTCGTGGACTATTCGACTGACCACCAGGAGGATAATAGCAAGAGCACACACCTTGCATTATGTGATGAGTAGCAAAACCAGTTATGCGTGTTATCTCCGGTCCCTGTCCTCTTTCGTGAAGAATTTGTCGATTTTCTCGTCGGCGATGGTGGTTGTTTGAGGTTGACCGTGTGCGGCTGCTGTGCCAAGCCAACTCGGCCTCGGCGGATAAACCGGCGAGATGAAAAATTGAAAATGCATGCGCCCGCAGATTGCATATCACCCTGTCGCGACGGGAGCACGTTATGGTGTTGCAAGCCAGTCTGGGCACTGGCCCAAGGCCCGCGTGTCCAAGTGTCACCGGGGCTTGGGCCACTGCCCAGGGGGCTTGAGTTGGAAGTTCGCGCGTGGCCCGGATCTTGGCACAAGCCCAAGTCTGGCTTGGCCGAACCCAAGCTCTGGGCTCACCAGAACCACCAACCACAAAACCCGACCCGACCACCACACCCGACACCAACCAGCACCACTCATTGGTTTTGGCCTGGGTGGCACTCTCGCTTGGGCTCGGCCAAGCTAGGCTTTGGCCCGACCCACCCCAACTTTGGGAGGTGCCAAGCCAGGCTTGAGTATAGGCCAAGTTGGGTTTAGAGGGTGCCACGCGGGGTTTGGGATCGGCCAAGCCCGCTTGGCCTCTTTTTCGTCCAACTTGTGCCAGTGCCCAGACTGGCTTGCAACACCATACATAAATACATACATACACTCTCTGGGGTTCTCCAGCTGGCGAAGGGATCAAGAAAGGGTAGTGTACACGCCGGTGGCCTGCGAAATTCTGATAGACTACATAGCTTCACGGATAAACGAGAAGGCGGCCAGCAGCTTTGCACGGCCTTGAAGCGCAAGCGCTTCGGTGTTGAGTAGAGACTGTTTCTTGTCAGCTCAATGAGTGAGACGGCCTTAGCATATCGACGTTCTTATGTCTGAGCATAGTATGGGCGCAAACTAACACAGGCCAAAGCAATTGCAACTGGCAAGGTTATGAAATAGTACACGCTGATTAGATGAAAAGAATTGAATCATATAATGATGTACAACATTGCACAATCGGATCGAAGAGACGTGTGGAGATAACTAGATCGAAGAACCAAAAGAACAATGAGTGGGCTCAAGAAAATGACATCAAGCTCTTGGCCTTCTTATTCTTCGCCTTGAGCTCGCTCTTCTTCTGTTTTTTAGACACCGAGGCTTTCTCGGCGAGCTCTCTTTCCTCCTTGATCGTCGAGACCAGGGCAGATTTGCCCCCTTTAGTCCGTTTCACCAATTCTGACCATCCGTCATTGGCCCCTGGACTACGATCGTTGCGGTCTATGGTCGGGCCCTTTCGTTTGCCCGTCGATGTGTCCGGCTTGTTGCTCGATGAGAACGTCAAGGACGGCTTGATGCTTGCGCGGGATGAGGTAGGGAGCGTGGATGGAGTATCAGGGTTATCCCGAACTAGTTGAAAATAATAGTGGACATAGGTATGGCATTGTTCAGCCCCATGATAGCAAGGTGCTCTTCGATTACTGAATATAACAGCTGTTATTGTTCACTTACGTCTTATCTTTTCAGCCTCAAATTCTTCCTTGGTGAGGTGTTTGCCCTCTTTAAGAACAACCACCTCGGGGGAATCTTCGTCCAGTTCTTCATCTTCATCGGATAGACGACCCATGCCGGATAGATCGGTTTCATCCACGACTTGTGGTTGCTCGTCATCCCCGTCGTCATCATTATTATGGTTGGTTTCCCTGGGTCTGACCGGGATGGCTGGGCGAGATGGATCCAAGATCTCGGTCTCAGCGTAGCCATCTTCATCATTTCCCTCATATCGTCTCCTCGACCTCGGAGGATCTTGGTCTTCTTCAGCTTTTGTCCCCCTCAACGCTGCATCGATGTTCGCCAGGAACTTCGGCCGATGATCGGTGAATGTCAAATCTAGTGGTGATGGGAACGAGAGCGAGGTTCATGTTCAATATCTAAACATTATCCTGTGTGATTAGTCTCATCATTTAAAGGACAGGAACGGCGCGTCTTGTTTCGTTCTTTTTCTTCTTTTTTTGATGTTACTACATAGTCTGATGGAAAGACTTACTCCTAAACTGATGCGGCTTGCGATCGTTTGAGCGAGGTGCCATTGAAATCGTTGGCTTGTTATTCCCCTAGGCTCGGCTAATTCGATGGCGATGCTGGGATGGTTCATAGTGATGTTTCCCCCTTCGAATGCAAGTTTCCCCCCACTTCACACTTCGGGACCCCCGACGTCGGGTACAGGCCCACAGGGTCAGATCCGCACACCGCCTCCCCCCGAGTCCTCTCCTCGGGGTTCACGACCTTCCTCCGTTCCATCACAGTGGTGCCGTGCAAGTTTGTGATCGATCTTATCCTCCTCGATATTGTTCAAACAAAGCTCACTGTACACTTGGCAACGAACCGATGACCCCTGCGCTATCTCTAGATGAGACCCAGTCGGAACCGGTCATCGGCCCATCGACAATACCGAATCAAGAACCCCTTCCTGATGAACCCGGCCAGCAAGACGGTCAAGAGGGAATGCAGATCGATGGCCCGCCGGAGTCATTGAATCCTCAATCGGAACCTTGCTCGGCTCCGCTTAATCCTCCACCTAATCCGACCAGGGTCGTTCATCTCGCCTACAAGATTTCTACTAGTCAATCCGATGCCGCTCATGAGCCTACGATACCAGTCCCACCAATCGACATTGGTTTTGAAAATCTGAGCTTTAAAAGCTTCAAGGAGCGTGTCTTCGATCAGTTTCGCTCGCATCAGCCGATCTCCCACCTGTTCCAAGTCTTGGTCAAGGCAGATGCATCGGAGGAAATCGATTGGAACTATTCAATCAGCTCTCCTTTGGATGCAAGTCGCACCTGGAGTTTGACCACTCGCTTCAATTGGGCGTTCAGCAGGTTTCTGGTCGCTGCTAAGTGCTTCCCATCCGATGCAAATATTTCGGTCGAGCTCAGGATCGTTCTACCGAAATCAGATGATGAGGTTAGTCCTACATTATTTCTCGGGGTTTGCGTTTTGTGACTGTTTTCATATAATTGTTTTGTTACAGCCAGCGAAGTTAGGACAACATGCCATTCCACCAGAAACCTCCACGCCTGACGTCCAACCTTCCCGCACGAAGCCTGCCTCTCCTGCACGTACCAATCCCGCGGAAAACCAACCAACGCCCCCCACACCCGCTCCTAGAGCTATACCAGCTGAAGAAATACCACCACAAGAGTTGCCACAAGAGGAAAGACCGCCACAAGATTTGCCACAAGAGGAAAGACCGCCACGAGACATGTCAATACTGGACTTTATGGAATTCTGCCATATACCTCGCGACGACACATATGTTCTGGCCCTCTTCACCTTGCATCAAATTCACCACTGGAGCGTATTCGAACGCGTCTCTGAAGAGCGATTGTTGGCCCTTGGCTTCCCAGTTGGACCGGCTCGACATCTCACGATGGGAGTGGCTGAACACTTAACCACACGAACTCACATCCCCACACATGCCCCCGATCTACCACGAGAGAACATGACGATGGCCGAGTTCCTCCGATTCTGCCATATCCCTCCCGATGACAAACATACCCAGGCTCAAATCACCTTCCATGAGATCTGTCATTGGACCGTGTTCCAGTACATGTCGGAGGATGAATTGCTAAGGCTGGGATTCGCATTTGGTCCCAGTCGGTTAATAACCAGGGGCGTCGCAGAAGCCAGACGCAAATTGAGAAGAAACCGATCGCCTTCGTTTGATCACTTCATGGGTTGATGATATGTAATTGTATTGGAGTGATTCTCAAGAATATAAGCTTCAAAAAAATGTCCCGGAAAGATACCGCTGAGAAACCACGCCTAATTAATTGGAAATGTTCGACTTCTCACATCGCATTGAACATTACTAAAGTTAGCTTGCACACATGAATACAATGGTTTTTGCTTTTTTTTTTCTAAAATGATTCCTCGGCTTACAATATCCATTTACAAGTAACACTTGCTCAAAGTATTCTGGGAAAAATGTCAAGCCAAAAATGAGGCAATGTGAAACAATCGCCAAATCAATTCGAATATACTTGGGATCCAGCTTTCATTCACAAATGACGCAGGAAATCCTACTGAAGTCACAGCATGCAAGTTACACATAAATCAACCAGAGTATTTAGTCTCACAACTCTGGTTGTTCGCGTCAAGTTCAACTGCGCGCCACAGGCCTATCAAATCTAATCGCCATCTTGAATTGCGCAGGTAAATTTGAAAACCCTGCCATCGGTGGGTTCATGGTCGGCTGGGAGAAGCTTTTCTCTGGGATGATGAGAATGGAAATCGTTTGAGGACGTATTGCTGCAGTTACTACGACAGGTGTGCCTTGATACCATTTATACTGTAATGGATTGGGGATGAATTAGATAGCTGATATCATCTCTCTCTCTCTCTCAATCTCAATAAGCATCGTTTGAAGAAACCCCTCAAGCAAGCGAGAAGCAGAAAAACTCTGGGTGTGCAAGATACCTCGGATGCTGCAGGGCTGCGTACCGTCCACCTGCTAGGCAATTGAACTTGCAGTCACTTCGGGCTCTACCGCAGTGCGATTAATCTAGAGGCAGAAAAGGCTTGCCTTTAGTATGAAGAGAAAGTATAGAATTAAAGTGTGCAAGAGGGTGCAAAGATATACAAGAATGACTACAGTTGACAATTTGTTTTACATTCTATTAAAGTAAGGAAAGAAGAACGCTTTTAAATATATTTGTCTGGGAATGGGCCGATTCAAGTCGGTCCGAATGCAAGATCAAGTTCATGAATTAGCCGTCTCCATCTGGCAGCAGCCTCGTTATCCACAGGACTTCCAGGAGCCCTTGATGGCTGGGGTGGCAGCTGGCCTTGCGCATTGCAGTGAGGGACCGGAGGCGTGCCATGATTTTTCTGGCTGGCACTGTCGTCGGTGATCCATAAGTACAAAAGCCTGGGATGGTTTACGGTAACCTTGAAGCCAAGATCCCGCGCGACCATTTGTCTCAAGTTGATCACTTTTGACTCCGTGTTCACATAGCTAGCCTTCATTGATTCTTGCTGGAGCGCTCGTCGGTAATTCTTGTCGTCCCAGGCGCACTCATGCCTTTCAAGCAGATCTTCAAAAGGAATGCGGGAAGTGATACGGTCAGTGTATGGATAAGAATCCGAAAGAACAATTAAATGCCCCGGCAAGTTTGCTCACCAACTACTTGGGCCATTTCACGCAGAGCTTCCTCCATTGTAAGAGCTCCTAATCAGTGGCTACTTCTCTTGGATCTAGAACGTGAGCAACAATGCAGAGATTTGAGAGGTTGAGAGGTTGGCTTAAAAGGGCAGCTCTAGGCGTAGAGTAGGAAAGAGATAGTGGATATCTTTCTTACGTTGAGCCTGGGGCAAGGTAGACAAGAGGAAGGGAGGAAAGGTATGTCGGAAGACTTGGATGGTTCGTGAGGCATGGTAAACAAGGGAAAGACGCTTGCCTGTTTATGTCGTGTCCATTTGATGCTCAGCCTATCTTCTGCTTCCTGCTTTCCATTAGCACAAGCTATGGATCTTCCCCTTGTCCACTGGCACAATGACTGCTGAACTGGACGCGCTGCAACTGCTGAGTCTCGAAGACGGGCAGCAGCGCGCAATTATATTCAGCAAGCTCAGTCATGTAACTCTGAGGTCAAACTTAACACAAGTCCCTCCAAGGAGGTCGCTCAGTGAACTCCAAAGGAGGGACTAGGTATCTGTTTTGCACTATTTTTGGTGTCCTCCCTACACATCCTCCTATCATTCGCAATAGATGTCATCTATATAGGACTACATGGTACCCATAGATAGCCAAAAAGGCCAACAAGGGTTCCATGTACTTTTCCCAGTCACAAGATGTGATCTGATAGGATTTTGCAACTTTTGCAAAAATGTTTTGGAATAGTTGGACAACCTGCACCTGCAGGAGAGGACGTCAGTGACCTTGGTCCTGGTGAATTACACAATCCCATGCAAAAGGGATTGCAAAACTATCGCGTCCCTTGTAGTTCTTTTAGGGAACTTTTGTAAAAGTTTTAGATTTTTTTGCAAATGCTTTGCGTTTAGCCGCAAGTCCCTCCTTCGAATGTCGCGCATCCATCGGAGGGATTTAAATATGTTGAGCTTGCTTTGAGGTCAAACTTGAGTTGGCGATCGGACATTTCATGGCGTGAATCGTCTGGACTGCCAAATAAAAATCAGGACTTAGGCTTGGGCGGTGAAACTATAAAAAAAGGCTGATGGGTATGGGCCATGGCAGGGCCCAGGGCTACCAAAATCAGTCTTCAAGGAAAATCTATAATGTGCGCTGCCTACGATTGCGACGGCCGCAATGATACCCTCATTGACGATATCAGCATATCATGATCATCACGACATCTCTACAGCTCATTTCAGCCTGAAGGGCTGCGTAGCAACACGGGAAACCGCGCCAGATCGGGCATCATAAAAGATCGCAAAATCGTGTCCGGACATATGGACTAAATTGTTACACATCTTGACTCGAAGTCAGAACCATTTGCGCGGTTGTAACCAATTTTCAAGTGACGAGAGAGTGGGCGAATTGAGCGCTTCTTAATTTTGATTTGATTCACCTTTGTGGAGTTTTGCTGTCAGCGAGCGACACTTCCGGGTATTCAACACCCACTGCGTCATGATTGTGACACTTGCTGCTATTTGTTATTTGTATAAAGAGTGTGCCTTCTAGTGCAAAGTACGTTAAATCATAAATGTGCATTGGTACACAGTTGAACCTGACTGCTTAGCATTTCCCATTCCACGATTGTCTCCCACTAAAACAACTCACAAATCAGCTTCCCTTCGTGCCGCTTTGGCTACTTTTGCCTACTTCTCTTCCACGCTTGTGTTTAGATCCAGATCAACATATTTAACCTGTCGACTTCAAGTTCTTCAATCCGAAGCGTTACCTTTCGAATCCACATTCTTTCATCTCCGGCTCGCCTGGTCGCAACGAACTTCACTACCGCCTCTCACTCTTTTTCCTCTCAACCCAGAGCATCATGCTGTCTGCTCCGCGGGTTTTAGCTTCCCTCTCAGTCGTTGCCACTCTCTTGCGACCAGTACTAGGGCATTGCAAAATCGTCACCGTAGCATCCACGCTCAGCGCACCCGGACCTCGTAGCCACGGCTTTGGGATTGTATGCTTTATTCAGATTTTCAGATTTTGTTGCTGAAGGATTACTCACTTTGCACTCTCTCCAACCTTACTCAACAGGATTTACACAACAAGTACCCCTGGAAAGTTGGTCAACCTGGAGATGTTGGTTTTTTTGCTTTTTTTTCATCCGTCATGTTCTGGGTTGCTTACCCCAAATTTGAAATCTGGTTCAGGCTGGCGCAGACGCACCTTTCTTCTCTCCTCACGTTGAATACGTTCCTAATCCCCAGCATCCCTGCGGAGAACTCGTCACATTGCCAAAGGGCCTGGATGTTCAATCCCACATGTCACAAGGTGAATTTAACCCACACTTCGCTTATCTCGACTGGGCACTGACTTGCTTTCACAATGCTATCCAGCCGAGGCATCTGGCGTTGCGACGACAGCGTCCGATGGCTCGTTCGAAGCCCTGATCTTTCAAGTAAACCGGGATGGTGGTGGCGCATGCACCTGTGAATTTGACACTGTGAGGGATAAATGTGTTCGATTTGCAAAAGTTTCATAGATCTAACCCTTGGAACGAACACTACGTGCTCTGAAATACTAGACTGGTACTGCTAAGTCGTGGAATCGCTGCAAGACGTTGGTCAATCCACCTGGAATTCAAGGAATGTGGCAAAGCGACCGAACCAACCACACTGCTAAGTTCCAAATGCCCAGGTTAGCCTTAAACTTGTCTGATTTCAACCTTGACAGTTAGAAATGTTATTGAAACTAGCTCTTCGTGGCTTATCTCCATCCTATCAGCTCGACCGTTTGTCGAGGTGGTGTTTACAAAGACAAATGTTTGATGCGCATTCGATGTGGTGAGTATTTCAGATCTTAAAACTCTTCGAACGTTAATCGAGCTTGTTACTCATTACAAATATCATTCACTCACAGGCTGGAAACTTCGGTTCGGTGGCTGTTTTGCTTTGAAGACACCTTCAAGCCCCCAACCGTTGAAACTTAAGGTGACCGGTGGAGGGTCAAGCGCGTCTTCATCGAGTGAGCCTTTGCCTGATGATGGGGGTTTTAGTACTCAAAGCAAACATTGACATATTGTTTTACAACTCCAACAGACGTAGATTCCATGGCTGCAAAGATATTTCAGAACATGCAGGCCAAAGGCGCTCTCAAACCTACTGGTGGTGCTAAAGCATCACCCAAGCAACACCGATCAGCGGATGCCGCGTCTCGCGCGGACCAAAACAACTCCCAGGTCGATGCAGTTGCGTCAAAGGTCATGCAGCTAATCAAGCAACACAACATGAAAGTCGTTCAGCCAAAGGCTGTCATGTTGGCCAAATCCTACGCTTGAATGCAGTAGTTGCGACATCTGAAAGACCATACACATTTCGGGTTATTGTTTATTTCGCACAAATGCAGTTTGTTGACATTGTTCGGTATTTAGTTTCAGTATCTCTTGGGCCTCGGTACATGCTTTTTGGGCAAAGGTCATACTTCAATATCTTCGACCAGTCATAAGTAGTAGTTACAGACAGAAACAGCTATATTTTTTCCTTCTTCTTTTCACATTCACGCAAATATTTCTCGCTAGTTTTGATAAACTTTGGAAGTTTTTATTGCATCACATATCTATTTGATGTTTGTCTCTCAAATGTCATTTTTCTCCTGATCTCAGTGGTGGTGTTATACATGTGGATTCAAGACTTTGACTACACTACCAATACAGAATGCTTTGCCGCTCATTTCGAAGTATCTCAAACAATACCAAAAATTTTGTTTCTGCTTTCACTATATGAAGTGCATTGTCTCATGGGAGATTGAAGACAACAGATGGAGGTGTGTTAGGTGCATGGGTATTCTTGCCTGTGAGGCTACATGTTTCAATGTACCACCACATTAGTTGTAAACGTTAGATGGAAATAGAATAAGCAAGTGACACTACCAGGCTGCCAGAGCCAAGGGTCACTGATGACAATTGAACAAATAATATTCAAAGGGGGGGGGCATGCGGCCACACAACATATTGTGTTTTGCAAAAATCTAGAACTGTTTCCTTTTTTTGATTAGAAAAGAGCCATATCTGCAATTTGACTCAAGTCCAAACCTAACCTTGAATCCTACAATTTATGGTACCTTTTGAAGAGTGTAGTGACAAGAAATCTAGGGGTCTGTAACACAGCTGTCTCTTGCCAATTTCCATTTTCCAACTCAAAAGTTGAATCTTATGGAAATGGTGTACCCTGATTTTTGGTGTAGACCCAAACCTGAATTTTGGATTGTGAAATGTCCTTAAAATTGAAATTGAAATTGAAATTTTTGTCTGGGTGCTATGGTACAGACCCTGGGTCCATTTTTGGAACCAGGGTCAAAGTTTCACACCAAAAGACCTAAGTGGTTGTAACTTATGACTTACCATACCCAGTTAGTTCTGGGTGAATGGACAACAATCAAGTGTTGGGTTGCTGGGTAGGAGCAGGGAATAGAAGCAAAGGGTGGGATACTGCAGTTCAGAAACATCAGCCAAAACCTATTTTCAGAATTCCCTACATCCACAACAAAAAAACAAAAACAAAAACTGGTGATGGGTCCAAGCTTTTGGAACACACCACTAGTAAAGGATTGCCAGATGTAGAATACCTTCAGCAACCCACATACCTCCCCAGCCCCATGGTTTCACAGGGAAATCTTGGTGAAACCCTGATCCTCCTCCCCTATTGAGCGGCCTTTCACACACAACATACCTACTTGATCACCTTGCAGTGGAAAAGCAAGTTTCACTGTGTTGCTATACACACACCACAGTTTCTGAGTTTGTAAATTCAACAACTCAAACAACTCTTTGCAGTGGAGATGGTCTCACATTGCTCAGCTGTAGTGAGCTGGCAATGAGCAATGTACAGTTGCATTCCCACATGTGGAATTGGATAAATAAAGTCCATAACATGTTTGTTATCCAGACTTGAGATTCTTTGCAACATAGCATGAGTTGGTGGGCAAGTGGCACACTATTGTCCTAAGAAAAAGAATCTTCTCCTACATAGTGTAACCTTGTTGGTGATCATCACTTCACTTGAGCAGTGCCTGTTCTGAATTACTTGACTGGAGTGCTTTGCACTCTGAGTGGAAAGGCTACCTGAGAGTGTCAATATATGTGAGTTCAAATCAAAAATTCATTGAATATGTGCAATTTATACAAAGAAATACTGGAAAACCCCTTGATTTGAAATGACAGTGTAGCAGTGTGAGAGTGTAGATTTGTCATTATTGCCAATAGTAGAAGCAAAGATCATGAACGGGGTGGTGTGAGGAAAGCAAAAGCTGGCTGGGGGTGGGAGGGGCAACAACGTGAATTCCGTTAGTTGGTAGCCACCAAATTCTGTGTTTTGGCTAGGTCAATCACTTTCGAGACAACTTTCGACATTTGTTGTGAGGTGAGTTCTGATTAACACATGGGCAGTCAGCGTGTAATACTTCCATTTCCTAACGTAGGGCAGAACTACTCACGTAAAGGGGTAGAGGTGGCTGGGGTTGCGGATGCACCGCCGTTCGAGGCGTCGGTCACTTGACCACTCATTTGGACGGCAAAGCAACCACCGCAAATTCCGTCGGTTCCTAAAAGAAAATTTTCAGCCTCTAAAATGTCGGGATCAATGTCAGGCTAAGTTCTTACCAGCTCGACAACGAACAAGCCCCATGTCATGATTAGGACCTCCAGTGAATCTGCTTCCACTGAAGACGTACAAGGGTCGTCAGCTCAGCAAGATCATTTGACGATTGGGTGAAACACAATCTTACGCTCGTAAGGTGGTCACTACAGTTACTTTGGTGTTCTCCTGAGATTCAATCCCAAAGTTCCCTAGCATGTTGAGGGTCATGTCCATTGGTTGCCATGAGTTCCCAGTTGCATCCTATCACGAACCGAATATGAACATTTAGGATTTTGATGAAAGGTTTCCGGCTTAACATGAGATACTCACGGAGCTGTATTCACAGGACATGGGGCCTCCTCCGATCCGGTTAACTTGGAAGACGGTCATAGGGATAGAGCCGTTGGAGAAGACTGAGGGCACACCAGCGTCGATAGCTAGTTCATCAGAATAAATAATCATCAGCAGATTTCTCGACAATGTACAGCCGCCCGGAAAGACAAAGAAGTGACACGTGTCTGACCTTCGCTCATGAAAGACGAGATGTCAACGCGTTTCCCAGGAAGTTTGGCAACCGTACCGCAAACAGGATTTGGGTTAGGGGTCGCCTGGAACTCTGTTGCGTCTGCGCCGGTCTAATACAGAGCGAGGCCCAGATGCAGAGAGGTTCAGCTGGAGTTTGGTGACAGATATTCGCGTGCAGCACTTACATCGCCACCACCGCTACGAGGAACGACACTGTCAGGTTGCTGAGGGGAGAACGGTTTGCGACGTTGATTTCAAAAGAAAGGAGGGAAAGAAAAGGCAAACAGTCAGAAAACAGTCTCATAGACACGATGATTTGGTTTCGAAAACGTACAACTCCAAAACCCGTTCCGATTTTGCCATTGGCCCCGCGAACTTGTAAGATTGAGCAAACACCAGCTTGCGTCTCGGGTAACAGGCATACCAGGATGCAAGCTACTGCAAGGGAGATGGCTGTAAAGGATCGAATCGACATTGTAAAGTTGTGAAAGAGCAAGTGTTGCCGTGCTTAATTTCTGTGGTTGAGAGATGTGCGTTCGACGGCCGGTTCGTATGAAAGAGACAACTGAGAATATATGTTGCGCACTTGGGTTGAAAGAGGTCTGGTGAACAGACTTTCTTGTCTGTCAGATGTGTCTGTTAATGTCAAGGACTTGAGCCCCCGTTGATATCAATAATATGTGTCAAGGTGAATGAATCGGATGGCCTGGGAACTTAGGGCTACTTTCAGAAAAACTTGAGCACTGCAAAAATCACGAAAGTGCACAGAGCATGCGCAAGGGCTATATGAACTTGCGGAAGATGAGTGACTAGGATTGGATGGAAAGAGATATAGCTGAGATTGGATTGGGTTACCGCCTGGATTCCTGGGCCAAAATATCAAGACCGTTGATGCGCGGTCACTTGCGGAGTTTTCAATAAAATGATGGAAAATGATGCCTAATTGGTGGTGCTGTGCAATATGGGCCTCATCAAGCCATGGCACCATGCTCAATGAATTCCTTTCCGAAGAGATGTTCATTGGATTCACCAACCTTTTCGTCGGACTCGCTACTTCCCCTACAGAGCTTTGTCAAAGGCCTTCGGGCAGCTTCTTCCGACAGAGCTGTCCGGGGGACCTGGATAAGCGATAAGCTGAGCTGCGTCCAATAGCTCTCCTGTGCACGATGGGGAAACTCTTCGAGAAAATGAAGCTGATTTCAGAAAGGTTGTCGCCCTTGGTGTGGATTTTCCTTCAAGAAAAAGTGCTGGATATATTGTCTTTTCAGAAATACTTGGAACCATTCGCAAAAAAATTGTTTTGGCAGATCCAGGCAGATCACATGCCTTGGATATAAAACTTTGATTTTACAGGTTTGGGTTTGGACAGGTATGCGATCCGACCCAAGACCTGGCAATGCAATCCAGCCTTAGTTTCTTCCTAAGAAGAGCTCTGGCAAAATGAAGCTCATATTTGGGATCAGGGTGCCAAGTTTACCCTGATCCCACCACCTACTCGGCCATCCCTTGCTACATCCGACCAGGCTGGGAGGGGAGTTCATGGCCGGGCATTGGGTCGCTGGATAGGGCCCGGGGAGGGAGAAGCAAAAGGTGGGATACATATGACGGAATCCCTGAAAAAAACAAGATAAAACATACTTTTTAATGCATAACAAAAAGAAAGAGATTGAGAGGCTCCAAGTATCTCTGAAAAGACAATACCAAATTCATAGGCAAACTCAAACTCAAACCGCGTTTTTGCAGTGAACTTACTGTTTTAGCGCAAGTTTGTAGATGGATTTGCAAACTTAACCTGAATATACCTTGATTTCTGCTTGGAAAATCCAGCTCAAGGTGACAACCTTTCTGAAACTAGCTGTACTCAATGAAAGGATGATTCATTGGACAGTCGGCGAATCTGGCAACACAAAGTGATGAGCCAATGCATAATCACAACGTAAATCTTTGTTACCAAGCAATGAATGTATCCTGATTCCTCACCCTTCCTTACCTCATGCATACCAGGGATATACCCGCTTACGGGCAAAGACCTCTTGCCGCCGAGTAAGAGCATCCACCCTTGTGTCTGTAAACCCGCTCTGTAAGCCGGTTTTACAGACTCAGTATGCATATTCACACCCTCATGCCCTCTTTAGGGCTCTTTAACAAACTAGTCTGTAGGATTTTTGGTCCAGCTCGCTAGATTTACCAACGACTACAGAGGCTCTTTAAAGGTCAATTTACCAAGCCTACCGACTGTTGGTACCGAACAATTCACCATCAAAGCACAACTACCAGCACTGATGGCCACCCCCACCACCCCAGTAGAAGAAACCACCGATACCACTCAAACAAAGAAGAAAAGAGGTCCAAACTGGCTTCCCCGCGAGGAAGAACAGCTTGCAATCTCTTGGATCAATACCAGCAAACAACCTGAATTTGCGACAAACCAGTCAGGCGAGACCTTCTATTGGAAGATTGAAAAGGATTTTAACACACACTCCAAGGCCCACTATTGCGATCATGGTCAAATAAAAACTTGGTAAGCTTTCAATTCCAACAATTTTTAAACTAATCACTAATACCACCCTCCTAGATGGACTGCTATGAACACCTCATCTCTTAAATTCTCTGCGATCTATAATGCGATCAAACAAAATCCTCCCAGTGGTTCTAGTCCTGAGGACTGGCTTGAAGCTGCAAAGATGAACTACCAAGACCAGACCAAAGGGACCGCATTCAACAACCTTGCAGCATGGCAAAAGCTCTGTTACGCACCAAAATGGCGAGCCGACCCTCGAGTAGATCAGACATCCACCCCAGTTCCAATCCCATCAACTGACTCGATCGACCCTGACACTTCTTTTAATGAGAACACCATTACCCCAAGCGCGCGTTCCGCATCTTCAATTTCTTGTCCAATTGGGGGGAAGGCCGCTAAAAGACTTCAAATCGAGAACTACCAACACAATGAATTACTCTCTCAAACAAACAAGCTGGCTGAAATCTCTCAAGAGCGACTGACAGCCTTCAACAAAGGCAACGATATCCTCCTGGAAAAAAATAAAATCATGCAGGAAAAGCTTGAAATAGAACGGACAAAACTCCAGCTAGAAGAATAGAAGATCACCATTGAGAAGGATTATCGTCAAAGTGAAACCGAGATGAACGGCTTCAAGATTCTCCGTGATGCCGAGGACCTTGGGGACAAGGAGGCAAAGGATGTCCTCAAGATAATCAAGGATCAAATTAAGAACAAGTGGTGTGCAAGAGCTGCCTTATAAGCGTCTCCTGGTCTTTCATCACCTCTCACTTGTGTTTTGTTTTCCCACTCTTGCCTCTTGATCAAATCTTGTCTATGTGACTCTCTGCTTGCATTCAAAAAAATTTATTGATCACATTTCTTTCTCACTGATTGTTTGTTATGTTGAGTTGCAATGAGTAGAAAGTAAGAAATGGAGTTGAAGTTGATTCATTTGATAGATAAAACAAAACAATATCAATAAATTAAATTAGATAGAAAGTACAACCCAAGACCTAGGCCCTCTCGTCACCCACAAGCAACCAATTGTAAGTTTTGAGGTCCTCGCGCAACTGCGCATGAGTCTCGGGGTTGTGCAAGTTGAAATTGTTCTGAAGGTAATTGGCCCAGGTATGTGCAAGGTTTGGGTCTCGATGATTTGGTATGATGTCGGCCGAAGGAAGGGTCAAAAAAGGATCAGCTGGCGATCGTTCTTCCACAATCATGTTGTGTAGAATGATGCAACACATCATCATTTCCATAACATCTGTCTTCTCCCACAAGCGACAGCCCCTGGTTAAGCAATGCCAGCGTGCTTGAAGGACACCAAAGGTTTTCTCAATGTCTTTTCAGGCAGATTCCTGAAGTTTGGCGAAGTGTTTGGAGGCCCCACCCTGTGGGTTCTTGATCGAAGCAACCAAAGTTGACCAGGGTGGGTAGATCAAGTCACAGAGATAGTAACCAGTGTCGTATTGATGTCCGTTGATTGTGTATCTGATCGAGTCCAAAGCCCCAGCAAGTAAGGAGTCAAAGAGATGACTGCAATGAAGAACATTGATGTCGTTGAGGGCGCCTGGAGTACCAAAAAAAGCATGCCAGATCCGAAGGTTCTTGCTTGCAACCGCTTCTAGAACCATGGTTGGCTTTTTTCCTTCCCTTTATACTGGCCTGCAAACCCCAATGGACAATTCTTCCATGCCCAATGAATGCCTTCGATGCTCCCAATACACCCTGGAAAACCCCGCTCTTCATTCTTGCTGAGGATCACTTGGAGTTCTTCGCGGTTTGGAGGTCGCAGATATTCAGGGCCGTTGTGGAACTACTCTTTGGGATGAATAGAGCTTGAGAGGGAATAGTGCTTTAATGGGCTGCATCTCTGGGAACTAGGATGAGTAAGGTAACAAGAAAAGAACAAGAGTATGGACTCTTGACACTACAAACAATACCGATTTTGCCCCAAGGAAAAATGGCAATTTGGATGGTGGAAAATAGATCAATTTTCTGGCACTTTTTTTACAAGATGCCTCAGGAGTAAAAAATTAGGCTAAAATGAGCTATTTTAGCCAAAAAATAAAAATGTCTCAAATGAGCTAAAAAAACATTTTGGAATGTTTGATGAATTTCTACCTCTGGGCTAAAATAGCTCAGTTTAGCCCAATTTCTACTCCTGAGGCATTTTGGAAAAAAGTGCCAGAAAATTTATCCATTTTCCCCCACCCAAATTGCCATTTATTGTTGGGGCAAAATGGGTATTGCTTGTAGTGTGAAGAATAGGTGTGGCTATGGAGATTTCTTGAGTAAG